GTCTGTAATATCAATATTTTTTCGAAACGAAACTCCCCTTGACCCACCCACAAACGAAACTTTTTCTCTTCGTGTAAAAGATCGACAATTATGGACCCGGCATTATCGATAATTTTCACGAAATGAAAAGTTTAGTTATGAGTAACTTGTGACCGTCCCCCACCCCCACCTACTCACCCCTCAACGAAAAATAGCTGGAATGGACTAGTGTTTCAGCTATCAATATTTTTCATTACGAAACCCATCTTGACCCACCCGCCCATGAACGATGTTTTTTCTCGTTTCAAAGATACTCAATCTGTTAAAGATAGATAATTATGGACGGCCCCTAACGTGCCAGGTTAAAAATGAATGAACCGTAGAAGATTGTTTGTGATATCACACGATCAGAACAGGTGACAACCAACACTACATGGCTGTATACTTGATGTGCTGCATTTACTGGGTGCAACGCAGGGAGTTGTAGCATCTAGGTAGACGGCACAGGCGACTGTAAAGCTAAATGACATGGGGTTCGACCCAGGGGTTCCTGTTTCAGCCACCCTTGGGGCACCATTGGGCAGATCTATACACGCTCGTACATGGTATTGCTAACCTGGGCCGCTCTCAGGGTCAGTAGGTCAAGGCCGTGATCGCGGGTTGCGCAGATCACGGAGAACCTCCAAATCCTGAACCAAAATTCTATAAAGTATTGTGTAGTCCTTCTACAGTGTAGGTGCTATGACTCCCTGGTGCGATGTACCTGCTGGTAAATAGACAAATTGCAACCAGGCCATAATTCGGATAGAGCAGACGATCCTGTCCTGGACCCTGTTCCACATTCAAAGTATCTAGACTCATATAGTGAGGGAGGAATATTGTGGTACTGACTCCGATTTTCATGCGCTAAGAAATTATCAAGTACATTGTATATGTAACTGTAAGTGATAATCACTCAAAGTACGAAGCTAACAGTAATATTCACTGGTTAGAGGGAAAGGCACAAACGGGAAAGGTCTGAAGAAAAAATTGACTGTCACCACCAGGATTCGAACCAGGGACCTTCGCTTGAGGCCAGCGATGCTCTAATCACTGAACTAAGGTGTAGCCGTCATCCCAGCCGAGATCGTTCAACATTTTCTTCAGACTTCGTAACGCACACTAACAACATCAGCTAATGGTATATGTACTCTTTTTCGATTGTGCATGCAAGCTCTACCTTGTGATGTTGAGCTCTCTTCGTTTGGTGGGGGTACTCCGATCGTCTAATGTGAACCACAGTCCACCTACAATTCTACATTTGCAACGTTGTCCAATGTGCATCGGCACGCATTGTACATAACTGTTACAGCAGAGTTTAGATTATCCGCACCCCTCGGGCGCACGCTTTCTCCAGGGGGTTCGGATGGGGAAAAATTCGGATAACGGAGCAGTCACACATCCATCTAAGACTTGCACATTCCTTCACGTTTCCATCAGTTCTCACATTCTCTTCACAGGAACTAGACACACTCTAGCTCCTCAATATGAAAACTGGCATTTCGAATAAGTGATTGTTCGGAATATCGGCATTCTACTGTACCGTAAAGTCGCGGATAAAAGCCGGGCTTATAAGCACATAAGCCGCTTTCTCCATCAGGTTTTAATGCAAACCATGCTTATTATGCACCACTGATATTTTTGCCAGACTTGTATGCCAGGCTTCTACGTGCGACACGCGTAGATCTACCACTGACTACCGGTATGGCGGCAGTTTTACTATGCACCATACATAGCGCATGCACTCTTGACCCACCCGATCCGCGCTTGCATAGAGCAAGGCTTCTACGCGCGACGGGCTTATATGCATTCGACCCGTTTGATTTTCAGGCTTCTATCTACGATGTGCTTGTATGCAAACCCGGCTTTTATCCGCGACTTTACGGTATTCATATTCACGCTCTGGAACAGGAGATCCTAGTTCGACTCAGACTGCCCTTTCCATAATACGTTTCCCATGTACTCGCAGTTCTTTTATCGGAACATCTTTTCTTCCCAACCTCAAATCCTGTGCAACACCGGTTGGCTTTCCTCAGTTTCCTGAATGGTGTTACCTCTCAATAGAAGCATGAGTGGCCATTCAATGTACCGGTATAGTAAAACATGTCCATAATTATCGGAGAAAGGATCGGATGTGGCTAAATAATTTGAAACTGTCCACCTCTCCTCACTGCGCTCTTGGCCCACATTTACCACACCATAGCAAGGAAGTTTGTTCTTGGATAGATGCTCTACATCCTCCAGACATCTATCCAAGAACAAACTTCCTCGCTATGGTGTGGTGAATGTGAGCCAAGAGTGCAGTGGTGGACAGTTGCAAATAATTTTACTACAATGTGCTAAGCAGAACAGAGGCACTAGCACCTGGGTGGAAACTATTCTGAATTTTGAATGCCACGGAAGGCTGAAGGATACCCATGAAACCACTGCCAAAGCAAACACAAATTTGAAAAGCAGTGCATGCATGATGGCGGTGGGAAAAAGGAGCCAAGGAAAGTGTGTACATATTTTTGTTGAAAGGATGAGAATTCAAAGAAAGCTGGCTGCTTCCTCTATTTCCATGATCGGCCAGTGCCTGCAGCACGAACAGTACATTGTATTACATGTATGTGCATAGACAGACAAATAAACACTAACCTGAGCATGGGTACCGCTTGTATTCGTGGTCAGGAAAGTGAAAGTACGAACGAAGGAGAAGAAGATTGTTGACCATGGCGAACAACTGCATATCCAGAGGGCACACGGCTTGCCAGAATGGGTCGGCTACATCTTCGCTAATTTTCTATCCTAACAACATTCAGCTTCGAGGTCAAGGACGACGGCATTTTTGGAAAGAAATTTCGAATTTTGGAGAAGAAGCTTGCTTTCGGAAAAATGTTCCTTTCACGCAAGGCAGCATGCCAGGTCAGGCGTGTGAACCAGGTGAACTGTGTCGGCAGATCCACGTTTACGTTCCAGGCCGACAGTTTTTTGACCAAGCCGTGAATCGCCCTCGCTCTGACTCCCCCGGCTACGAAGGAGTAATTTTACAACTCTTCAGGCCAGCTACAGGTCTCTGATGCAGAGCTGCAAGTGACGGATATCGGTCATTTGCAGCCACTACTTAGAGCCTCCTGGTCGTTGCAATCTGATACATAATATACCTCGCGCTGTGCTTGTCTTCAGGGCAGGGAGTCCTAAAATACCAATATTTTACAACTCGTTGTTGACACCATTATCCGAAACTGGTGGCGAAGGAAGGATAAACATGATTGTATGTCTGTCAGACTCAGTACAGGGGTGGGGAGTTGAGTGTGTGTGTGTGGGGGGGGGGGGGGGGGGGGGGGGAGGCGTGTGTATGTGCACATGTGCTTGTACTTTTGTGTGTGTTTGTACAGTGTTTGTGTGTGTGCTTGTGTGTGTGCTTGTGTGTGTGCGCGCGAACGTGTGTGTGCATTTTTGTGCACAATTCCGTTATGAAGTACAAATGATAGGTTTACCTTTTGTACACTCGCCAAGACTTCCGTTTCCTAAACGGCTCAAGTCACCGCGTACTCAGTATACGAGTAGAAAAGTGTTGAAATTATCAAGATTTATAAATAACGACCTGCAACCATGTACAATGTAGATAGATAGGGAACACACATTGATTGTTTTTAAAAGAATCCAGGCATTATCATGAATCATGGAACGAGTGCGTAATAATGCTCTATGTTGCGTTTTGACGATGCTGAAGGAAGGGAGCCGTCGCGATTTACTCACAACACACGCACAGAAGTCCACTCGACTGCAATTTCTGACACAAATTCATAAATCCACGAGTACGCCGAGGAAGCTCAGCGGATCTCCACAAGAACTTTCGCCCATCACCTGCAATGGAATATGGGCTGTATGATACGACCAGTGGTTAACACGGGAAGTGGCGTCATTTTCCACAAATCTCGTTTCATTCACAACCATTTGACTGCAATTCAGTGCAATTTCTGCCACAAATTCAACTCCACGAGTACGAGGAAACTCAGCGGATCTCAACACGAACGTTGGCCCATCACCTGCAATGGAATATGGGCTGTATGCTACGACCAGCGGCTAACACGGGAAGTGGCGTCATTTTCCACAAATCTCGTTTCATTCACAACCATTTGACTGCAATTCAGTGCAATTTCTGCCACAAATTCAACTCCACGAGTACGAGGAAACTCAGCGGATCTCAACACGAACGTTGGCCCATCACCTGCAATGGAATATGGGCTGTATGCTACGACCAGCGGCTAACACGGGAAGTGGCGTCATTTTCCACAAATCTCGTTTCATTCACAACCATTTGACTGCAATTCAGTGCAATTTCTGCCACAAATTCAACTCCACGAGTACGAGGAAACTCAGCGGATCTCAACACGAACGTTGGCCCATCACCTGCAATGGAATATGGGCTGTATGATACGACCAGCGGCTAACACGGGAAGTGGCGTCATTTTCCACAAATCTCATTTCGTTCACCCCAACTCAAATAAAAGTGAAGTACAATTAGGGATTTGACTTGCATTTCCATCGCCTCAGAATAAATTAACTTCGATAAACTGAGAGAGAATGAGTGAGGCAGCTGGAAGATGAGGATGAAAATAGAGATCAGAAGACTCGACGGAGCAATCGTCTCCGTGCTCTAAGAGAAATCGGAGAATGTCCCAATTAGTATTTCAAGAAGACATCACAATTTTCGAAAATAATAATTTCCTTGCCTCGCAACACCGTTCCCTGGCAGCGTTCCCCGGCAGCGCGAGGCAAAGATGTTTTCTGGGAATGTGTGCCGTGTCCTCTCCCGGGCTTTTACGACTCCCTGCAGCAAACCAATCGGCCATGCGTTGGTGCTTGGTTGCTATGGCAGTACAAATGACGCGCTTTGCAGAGTCTTTCAGCTTTTGTGTACGTGTAGACTACGTTTTGTGCCGTGACTTTCTAATGACAGGCCTGGATCGATCATGCATGTGGCCATCTCACTCTCAGGCCACGGACTACATTTTGTAGCAATCCAGTAATTCAAAATTCCGAATCACTCTGATCTGGGCTGGGGAGTACCAATTAATTTCAATGCTCAAAGCGAGCGATATGTAAGTCGCGGATAGCTGAGATCAGCACTATGCCTTTGCTTGGAGACGCTGAGCTAGGAGCACACACGTTTTTCGCCAGGCGACACGCAGCCAATCAATGTGGTAGCAATGGCCTGCCCCTGACTCTGAACTCTGTAATCATTGAGGGCCGCTTCCAGTATTTGACGAACATCTCCCATCGTAATCTGTGCTCCTATTTGGACCTGGTGGCGTCAAAAGGCGGTGAGTGGAAATACTAGTAACAAACATATTCCACATATTGAGCCGGCTCCTGAAATTTTATAGAGATTTTCTCAATATTGCCAAAAAAATATGTTCTGATCATCCGTTGAAGGTGGAGATCCAGTACATAATTATAATAGGTGGGTTGGATAATCCGTTTATCAAGCAGGAGCTAAGGCCATCATTTTTTATAGCTATGTTTCGCGTCGTCCGCACGCATACGTTTTGATTTTTTTTGGAAAAAAATAAAAAATCGAACATGCACAGTGAATGTACGATCGTGCGAGTCATAAGTGTGGACTGGTTGCATACGGCGAAGCTGGGATTCAGAAATGGCCTCTACTAGGCTCTAGGCCAGCATTGGTAAATCGTTTGTTCGGCATCTGGGAGCAATATTCTATGAGCTTACACCAGACCGCATTGATCGCCTCAAGCTGAGAGGATGCGTCGTTCCGGAGCTCTTTGCACCGCTGCTGAAGTCTGAGCACAATAATCCAGCGAAGCATAGGCACCAACGGTTGCCTCCTCCGTCCAAAGTGAATATTTACTCATGCTGATCCAAGATGTTGTGCTTCGATGTACGATATTTCTTTCGAATGTACACCATGCACGAGCTTTTGTGCTATGTACAGTGCATACACCTCTGATGAGCCTTTTTTATTATTTTGCAATTTTTTATTTTTTTCCACCTCTCGCATATGATTCTGGAAGTTGACCTGACGCGAAACATAGATATAAAAAATGATGGCCTAATATATTCTGAAAATCAAAATAAGTCGAGGGTTGCAAGACACGTCGAAACTGGGTGCATCAGCTTTGTGTATGTTCAGCTAAGGTTCTATTCTTGAGAGGTTGATCGGCGTAAATCATGGTAATGAATATCTACAGTAGCGTACTGAGTATCCGCACTCCTCGGGTCGCGGGCTGTCTCCAGGGGGTTCGGAGAAGGGAGCAGTAACACATCCATCTAAAACATGCATTGAAACACAATACATGATGAATTGCTACTATAATTATGTGAACTCTCATTACACTGGGATGCAGTATTACTTTCCACATAGTCATTAGTCTAGCATGGCGTCATATATTTATCTCAATTCAGTGTTTTCCGAAGAATAAAAAATAAATAAAATAAAAATAAATAAAAACATGCATATTCCCTCATCTTTGCATTGTCTCTCATTCTCTTTGACAGCAACTGCTTGAATGGTGCTCCGGATGAGAAAAACAACATAAAACTCATTTTCGTCCCTTCAATTCCATGCAAACAGGCATTTCAGATAATTGATCGAGGGTAGTTGACGTTCGCATAATCAGCATTCTACCTTATTTTAAAATTTAAATGCTCTTCCTGCACACACATTATAGGTCGTAGATAGTGGCAACACCTTGAAAACTTAGCCGACGGTGGGTGGTATCAGTGTGCGATAGCATGGTGAACTGTGAGCTGCTAAAGCGACGTATCCATCCAAATCTTCCGTTGAATAGATTCTTGGTCTGAGGAAAGCAAATCAACACACGACGCACAGAAGCCATATCGTTTCGACTAGGCCTTTCGCACCATTACTTTTCAAGTAGAATACAATGTTGATCAACATGGTCAGCAAAGGGAGAACATGGTCAACAAAGGGAGAAAAAATCAACACCGATCAAACCACCAGCAACTGCCACGGGACGAAGTGAACGACTGTGTGTCCGCAACAGCACTCTTGAACAAGCGGCTGATACAGGATCGACATGTGGAACATGTGGAACAGTGTGTGACCTCTCGCCTGGCAGAGAAGTCGCCAGAGACACAACTGCCCTGCATAATAGCAACCAGAGAGAGAGAGAGAGAGAGAGAGAGAGAGAGAGAGAGAGAGAGAGAGAGAGAGAGAGTTGACCTGTGCTTTAAACACTTTTAAAAACTATGATAAATGCAAGGTTGATATTCATGCTGTACTGATGAAAGATAACTCTGCAGTTGACACTTTGGATGTTAAATCCTAAACACATTGATACGGAGTCATCACTCAATCCAGGAATGGACTACTGTAAATATACAAATTTTCGGCAGCTATTTAATTTCGGCTATATTCGGCACCGACCCAAAACGCCTAAATTAAAACGCCGATGAAATTTTTCACAGCATCTGTCGCACTATACCATGCCCTCTACCCCACGCCGAAAATAAATCGCCGCCGAAATGTCAAAAATTGTGAAGTGCCGAAATTTTGCAGCGCCGAAATTTTGTATATTTACAGTAACTCCTTCTGCAACTACTGGAAACGCTTACCTGCGCTGATTTAGTACACAGCTGTATATCGTTGTGTGTGCGTGTGTTGCAAATTTGTGTTTTTATTGCCTCTTGTCCCAATCCGTTCTGTGAAGCTGGCAAGCAGTTGAAACATGCAGCAACAAGTCAAGGTATTGACTGCGCATGATCATGACTTGTACCTGAAGTATTGCAGAGCATGTTCAACGCATGTAACATGTAATCTATACTCTAATTTACTAATCCAGCGTGCACATGCTTGGTGAAGCTACTTTGGTTTTTCATTTCTGTAAAAGCCTTATAAAGTTATATATAACGAAGTGCTAAATCTAACGAGTTAGCGAGGAGAAAATTGCCGTTAAACTAGTAAACGTTACACGGAAATCAACACTTATACTGTTGCTAGTGAGAGTTGAGAATGAGTGAGAATCGTTACCTTTTGTACACGTAAACCGGTCAATTTCAGTCATTATATTTGCGGCTCGTTAGAATAATGGCTTTTACAGTAATTCATAACTGGCTATTCAAGTTTGGGAATGGGAGAACTTCGTATTCAATGCAAAATAACTGTTAGTCAGGGAAGTAAACTGCCAGAAAATCAGAAAAATGCCAACCCTACCAGCTAGGACCTTGCTTGTCATTGGCAATGCTCTGACCACCTGAGTAATGACTATTGAAGTGTGATTGTTTAAAGCTTTAGTGTGACACATGTCAAGTGTATCAAACTGCTCTGATTGCTCCATTTCCATTGAAACGGCATGCATGGCTGGCTAATCATAATAACAATAACTGTGTCCTGCTGCTGATGTTAAAGGTGTGAAGATTACTTCGAAGTACAAGCAACCAGCCGCTCCCTTCCGTGTCCTGAGCTATCAGGGGTGAATCTTGGCGCCAATATGCGGAAGTTTGAACATCATAAGCAACCAGCCTTTCCTTACATGTTCTGCGCTGTCAAGGGTAAAAGAAACGCAGTGGATGAAAATGCAATACAAATTTAAACCCAGAAAGGAAGAAAAAAATATGTAACCCCAAAGCAAACACGATGCTGTCAAGTGTGATTTGGCGCCAATATGCGATGGTTTGTGCCCAGTCCTGCATTGAGAGGTGCTTTGAAGTGGCTTGAAAGCCGGCTGATAAGATTGAAAGTCAGCAAGATGATAATTATATTATGGTTGTGGTAGTTCTTGAGCACGGTACGAGATATCGCCTGTCGCCCCTATCCTGACTTATATAGTTCGTCCAGGCGATTTGGTGTTTGCATCATGCTTCACGCTGTTGTGCACTGCGGTGGCAGTGGCGGCGGCGGTAGTGGTTGTGTGTGCGTGTGTTTGTGTGGGTGCTTTTGCGCGTGCATGTGTGTGTGTGTGTGTGTGTGTGTGTGTGTGTGTGTCTGTCTGTCTGTGTCTGTGTCTATGTGTGCGTGCACAAGTTGCTATGTTTAACATAGCTGTTCGCTATCATCACTTTCGCGATGGGCATGTCTGAGTCTGAGTGTGCGTGTGTGTATGTGTGTGTGTCGTATGTATGCCGGAGTATGTGGTGTGGTGTGTGTGTGTAGGAAAAAAAATGGAAAAATGAAAAATAGGGATTCACTGGCCAGAAAAAATCACTTCAATCAGCTGTGTGGTGGATACCAGGCTAAAAATAGTGGCGGTCAATTCATCAGCCTTGCAAGCTGTTGAATGATGTAATCCCAGCACAAGTTGTTATGTCTAACATAGCTGTTCGCTATCATCACTTCCGCGATGTGCATGTCTGAGGTCTGAGGTATGTGTGTGTGTGTCGTATGGAATTGTAGTTTTGCACTCACTGCTATGTGTACATGTACTGCATTAATTGACCCCTGTGAAAAGGCTCATTATCTTTTCAACCAATATTGTTATGCTGGTACCTGTGTGTTTCTCTCCCGGGCCATGTACATGTAGAACGGCTTGTGGTGGTGACAGAATGGCATAGTCAGAGTCTCACTAGCACACTTGAGTCTGGCGAGTTTGCCACGTGCGATGGCGTCAAGCGACTTGCGTTTGACGTCCTGTCCGGCCTTGCGCACGCTAATCAGAATGGCCTGGTGCATCGTGCCTTGTCAACGGATAAGATTCGTCTACACAACAAGGTGAGTAGTGTCGCACTTAGTCTACTCACAAAGTATGATGGGAGAGAGAGAGAGAGAGAGACAGACAGACAGAGACCAGCCCAGCCAGCTACATTGCCACTGTATTAAAGCGTAGTTGGGGGAGGGGGTTACAGATACCGTAAAGTCGCGGATAAAAGCCGGGTTTGCATACAAGCACATCGCGGATAGAAGCCTGAAAATCAAACGGGTCAAATGCATATAAGCCTGTCGCGCGTAGAAGCCTGGCTTCTATGCAAGCGCGAATCGGGTAGGTCAAGAGTGTATGCGCTGTGTACATTGCATAGTAAAACTGCCGCCATACCGGTAGTCAGTGGTAGATCTACGCGTGTCGCGCGTAGAAGCCTGGCTTCTATGCAAGCCCGGATCGGCCGATGTGCATACCAGCCTGGCAAAGATATCAGTGCTGCATATAAGCATGGTTTGCATACAAGCCTGGTTTGCATTGAAGCCTGATGCAGAAAGCGGCTTATGTGCTTATAAGCCCGGCTTTTATCCGCGACTTTACGGTATGTACTTTTTGATCGTAAACTAAAGGAGTAGAGTTATATCTGCCAATGTACTTGTTTCAATCATGCAGCTGCCCGGTTAGCTCAGTTGGTAGAGCATCAGACTTTTAATCTGAGGGTCAAGGGTTCGAGTCCCTTATTGGGCGCTAAATATTTTTTTCTACAATTCCATCTGGGTACCGTAGTAATTAACAAAGCTTTTTTTTGTCAGATAAAAGTATGACCGAAGTGCCATGCGAAGTCACGAAATGCCATTCACAGAAGTGGTACGTGATGCGACGTCGCTTTGATGTTTTGCGTCTAAGCACAGTGCGGGGTTGTGCGACTCCTTGGCATCCGTGCAGCTGGGTACAACTTGTATAAAGGTACAAGCAACGTGTGTACAACGTTTGCTGGAAAGGTCCTAATCGCGCATCGCATCGCAAGCGTTGAGCCAGGCTCAGTTTCTGCAACCAGCCAGTTGGGATGCGCAGATGCTGCACAATAAACGAGCTGGTCGAAAACCGATTCGGCCTGTTCGCCCAGGCAATAGGGCAGAGGTGAAGTCTTTTTCTCTTTCGTCTTTGCTTGACAATTCTGAGGCCAGGTGATATCCGCTGAACCGATGTTTTCCCGCAGGCCACGAGTCGGAGGGGGGGGGGGGGGGGGGGGGGGAAATCTGCTCCGCAGCCGGTGGCACGAACTTGGCCATGATCGAATACGACGGAAGAACGAAACTTGACTGTCCGGGGCAACTGATTCTGACACCACCCTACGGCCACAACGTGGGAACGGAAAGTGACTTTTTTTTTACAAACACACAGTGGGTTTTATACAGGAGTCAGTATAGTGAGTGGGAGTGTCCAATGAAACCTGGTTAAAGGGGAAGTTAAGGCAAAAATTAAAATTTCACCAGTTGTAGTCTTCGGGGTGCTGAGTCGAATGGTCTTGGTCCGAGGAAGCTGAGACGCTCCCTTCCTACTTGAATCCCAATCGAACTCGCGCACTTCCACCGAAACTGGGTGACTGCGCCCTACGAGATGGGGATTTGTATGCATAATGTCACTAAAAGCGCCATTTCGTTCTTATAAAAGCACGGATGACCGCGATTGGCCCATATGTTGTAGTCTTTTGGACGCTGAGTCGACTGGTTTTGGTCCGAAAAGGCTGCGATGCAGCGTTCCTCCTTTATTCCCAATCGAACATGGTTGAACAAGTGGTCACGTGCTCCTGGGTGCCCAAATCACCTGGTCACCACGCCAGCAGGTGACAACTTTCACACCAAGGTTCAACTCGAGTTCAACTCGAGTGACAGGACTGCACCCAAAAAAGGTCAAACAGGCTAGTAAGTTGTACCCTGCAGGCACGGTGACCAGGTGACTGGCGTACTCAGGAGCACGTGACCGCTTGTTCAACCATGTTCGATTGGGAATAAAGGCGGAACGCTGCATCGCAGCCTTTTCGGACCAAAACCAGTCGACTCAGCGTCCAAAAGACTACAACATATGGGCCAATCGCGGTCATCCGTGCTTTTATAAGAACGAAATGGCGCTTTTAGCGACATTTTGCATACAAATCCCCATCTAGTAGGGCGCAGTCACCCAGTTTCGGTGGAAGTGCGCGAGTTCGATTGGGATTCAAGTAGGAAGGGAGCGTCTCAGCTTTCTCGGACCAAGACCATTCGACTCAGCACCCCGAAGACTACAACTGGTGAAATTTTAATTTTTGCCTTAACTTCCCCTTTAAGCTGATCGCACAAGGGACCTGATGAATGTGGTCTGTGTGTAGAGGTGGTCTCCGTATCCAGGGTCATTTGGCTGGGAATGCCATCCCCTGGTCCGAGTTGGAGTGGCCCTCGAGGACGGCTGGTCGCCTTATCAGAGTGGTCACTTTGACAGGTTTTAGGCCGCGGTCACACCGAGCCCGATTCAGCCGTTCAGCCCAAAAAGCGCTTTTTCGGCTGAGGTTTCCACGGAAACGGCTGAAAATCGGGGCACCAGCCACTTTCAGCTTTCAGCCCTTTTGGAAGCGCTGAAAAGCTGAAAGTGGCTGAATAATTTTGGCTGAAGTGCAAGAGGACTTGAAGAACTTGAGTTGACGTTTGTTGTAGTCAGGTAGTTTCTTCTTCTCTTGTATTGTACTTCAAAGTAGTTGTGTGAAGTGTTTGAAGGTTTTCGTTGTCAGCCATGGATAGTTGGAGCGTGGGACTGGAGCGCCGATTGCTCGAGCTGTGGTACGAAGCAAAAACACGATATCAGACGACAATGAAAAAGGATACGAGCAAACGAGCCTGGATCTTTGCAGAACTGAAAAAGTTTGCTGCGAATGAAGCCGGGGCCGGGGGCACTGTGCCTGCTTGGCTGGAGGCCCTGGACGACAAGAAGATCAAAAACAAAATTGAGTATATGATGGTACGTCTTTTCCCCTTGCTTGTTGGTGTCGGAGGCAGGTGATGGAACCTATCGCGATGTTTCTTTCTGCCCTGTAGTCAACAGGCGAACGGTTGCTGCAGAAGCACGTGCGTCCGCACCTGAATTTGAAGTCGCCGCCAACAGGATCTGCAGCGGACTCCGATGATGATGGTGCAGATCCTTCCGTGTCCATCGATTGGAATCAAATCCGTTCCACGGATGCGGGAACCTGCCAGACTGGAAGGAACAACCGTAGTTGATGACTGGGACTCGTCATCAGCATCGTCATCGGACGGTGAGGTTGACGCGACAAGGCAGCCTCCGAAGAAGCGCCCCTTCAAGGTGCCTGCGGAGGAAAGGGCCAGTGCAGCGTGCGTCGCGCAAGGCATCAGAGAGCGCCAGGGCCAAGCAAGGCACAGCAATGGACAAGTTCCTAGATGTGTACGCTGCTACAAACAAGGACAAAGAGAAGGCAGCCGATGAGCGTCTACAACATTTGATGGAACATGACCAGGCGATGGCCGAGCGGTCGGAAACCCACACTGCCATGCTGCAGTGGCAGCTTGTGGACGCTACTGCTGCTATGCAGCAGTCGCAACAAACCGTGGCAGTGAACAATCTGCAAGCAATTATGACCTTTCAAGCAAACCTGATCAAAGGTTTGCTTGAAAAGGATAAATGATGAGGGAGAGAGTGTGTGTGTATGTATGCGTGACTTTGCGTGTGTTTGTATTTGTGCGTGTGTGTGTGTGTGTGTGTGTGTATGTGTGTGTGTGTGTGTGTGTGCACGCGCACCTATATTGCATTCATACTTCTGGCTGAAAAATGATTATTATTTTCTCTTTCTAGTTGTTTCTTCCGGTTTCTTTTGTTTACAATTCCGAATACAACTCATTCGTATTCGATTTCATGTGTAAATGCGTGTGCCAGAGCAATATATTATCGTACTTCTAACTGTGAAACGTTTCCTTCTCTTCCCAGTGGTTTCTTCTCCAATCTGATGTTGAAATTTCACAATACATATCATTCACGTTCGTTTTATCATTCAACGTCTTCTCAAGTGACAAATTATAACAAAGCTAGTTGGGAACTAAGTAAATCCTTCAGAAAAGGAGTACTTGGTGAATTAATCTCATTCCAATATAAAATTACAATGCCAAGAGTGATCCAATGTCATAATTATACCCGTAAAAATCGAGACGAAACACGGCAACAGCAAAAGAAAGCCAACGTGAAAAAGCAACATAAAATAACAAGGGAAACAACGCAAAAGGAAATACAGCATAGCATGATTAGCATCGCTACAATACAGGTCGCACTCTATGGACATGTTGGGCAAGCTTCTCCCGCACAACCGGGCCGGTGCTGTTGCCAACGATAGCGAACCGATCATTCTGACCTGGCTCGTAATGTGCAGGGGCGGTGCACCAGTGCTCACCTCCCTTGGAGAGGAAACTCTCACAGAAATTGTGCAGCGTGTAGCAAACGAGGGCAACATCCGCTGCGAACATCGTATCTCGCAAATTGCAGCCATCCAGTATCCTGAATCGGCCCTTCAGGCGACCAAAATCCTGCTCGACAACCCGTCGAGTGCGTATCAACCGGTGATTGAACGTCCGCCGATATGGCTGTAGCGGTTGCCCATCAGGGAAACACTTCATGAGCGTTGGTGACAGGGGAAATGCAGCATCTCCAACAAGGTATGGACGAACGTATGTTCCGGAAATGCTGTGGCTATCCTCTTCCCGCTCCCTCAGTGATAGCCAGGAACCATCCAGGATCTTTCGCTCGAGCACGCTGGCGTGGAAAGTCGCAGCATCCCCCATGGAACCAGGTCGCCCAGCATCAACAAAAGTAAATTGTCCATTTGAATCGACGACAGCCAAGATGAGGATTGCCGAGTACTTTTGATAGCACCAGTAGGCGTCGCCGTACTTCAAAAAGGCTTTCTCATACGCATGAATGTACCATCAATAGCTCCAGCACATCTGGGGAGACCACAGAGTGACTTGAAGCCACGCATGACCTTGCGAAGTTTTTTTCCCTTTCGGGAACCGCACGACCTTCGGCAGCAGCTGCTCTTTCAAGACTGATATGGTGTCGTGAACAATTTCTACAGCTGTTGATTTGCCAATGCCGTACAGCAATGACAGTTGCGACATTGACAATCCCTGGGAAAGCCAGTGCAGTGTCACTGCCAGTGCAGTGTCACTGCCAGTGCAGTGTCACTGCCAGTGCAGTGTCACTGCCAGTGCAGTGTCACTGCCAGTGCAGTGTCACTGCCAGGCGCTTTGCCGAGCACACAGACGCCCTGTAGTTCGTGGTACACCTCTCCAGCCAACCACCCACCTCTTAACCACCCACCTCTTCATGGAGAGTCCAGAAAGCATCCTTGGACATCCTCAAATGGAGGCGATACTGCTTGTTCTCCCAGTCAGAGACATCCCACTCAATACCCATGGTGGCCCAGTGCTGGATAACGTCATCGTTCCAGGCACCGGGACTGCGAAGGGCGCACCAAAAACGCCGTTTTCTCCTGCCAAACATTGTCAAGGGCAAGATTGCCAGCAGATCCTCCTCAGTATTGTCTTCATCAACAAAGTCGAAAACGTGTCGTTTCCTCCGGCAACAAAGCCTGGTATTTGTCACCATCGGCAAAGTGAGGTGATTCTCAGGGGAAATTATTCGGATCATCACCATTGCACATAATAAAATACAGATAGCGATGCGGCTCTTCGTTTCCGAATCCATTCTCAATCCACTGTGACAAATCGCTCTTCTCTCTCTACTCCTCTCTCTTTCTATCTCTTTTCCAGATCCTTACTTCTCCTTCCATCCACGACAAGGCCCACGTGGAAATTCAAAATTAGGACGTAGTGTGTATGCAAATCACGTATACTGGGCACAGGGGTCATCCTCCAAATAAAGAAAAACCCGGGAAAACCCGCGTCAGCCAGTTTTGGTGTGACCGTCAGCTGGCTAGTCGCAAGCCACTTTCAGCGCAAGCCAAAAACGGCTGAACTTGGTGAGACCGCGGCCTTACTGTCTATACTGTAGCAGTAGTGTGGGTACTACGGTATGGCACTTGATACCTGTCAATCATGGCATAATTTAAAAGAATGCGGACTGCATATGACAAGTGCAGTCCTGGCCAGAGAAACTCGACCTCATGAATATGACAGCGCCGGGTGCTACGCGGTTCTACAGTAGCAGCCGGCATACACTACCGTGCACACTTCAGCGTGGCGCTACTGTATTCATGAGGTCGAGTTTCTCTGGCCAAACTGCTAGTCTATGACATGTTTTTGGACAAAACGCCAAAAAACACAAGCCTACACAAGCCTATGAAATGTACATTTCTGCTTGCATTGTGAGGTGCAATTGCCACGAGCATGTTCTGCTTGCTCTCCCTGTGTTAATATTGCTGCTGGTGCTCTCTCTTTCTCTCTCTCTCTCTCCTCTCTCTCTCTCTCTCTCTCTCTCTCTCTCTCTCTCTCTCTCTCTCTCTCTCTCTCTCTCTCTCTCTCTCTCTCTCTCTCTCTCTCTCTCTCTCTCTCTCTCTCTCTTTGTGTATTGTAAGGTGGCCAAGCTCCACGACTTTGGCATGTACTACATGACGTTATATGGCGCAAGCGTTCCGTTCTGCATCGGGTAGGTGTGTGTGTGTGTGTGTGTGTGTGTGTGTGTGTGTGTGTGCGCGTGCGTGTGTGTGTGTGTATTTGTGTGTGTGTATCTGCTTGTTTTTCCCGGTCAACACTGCGCACACAGTTACAATGAGAATACTCACTACCAAGAATGCGACTAGCTGCACTGGACATACTGTATGCCCAGACGACACGTAGCATGCCGCTTTGCAATGTACATGTCCAGGGCGCATTGTGTGGAGCAGGGAAGCATGCGTGGTACCATATCGTCCAGTGTACCCATATTCATGTGCACCAGTCTAGGTGCATGTTTGTGGTAAAATAAAAATAAACCATAAGCTGGATTTTGGGCCAATTTTCTGCTTTGAAAGCACACTACTTATACGCTGGAAAATGTATCTCTTTCTTAGTTGGGAGGTTGCTGGCTGATGCTACTCCTCGCGTGCATTATTATCCTTGCCACATGCTTGGCATTTTGGTCTTTCCTACTGCTGTGCGTAAACCTCATTTAGAATATCAGATGCTATGCATTTACAGTAAGGTCAACATTATTTGAAAAGCTGGGTGGGTTAAAAAAGGGGGACAAAAAGCTGTCACCAATGTATCTTTCAATAACTGTGCCCGTAGGTTAAGGGTGCGTTCTTAAATCCTCTCGGAAAAGTTGGAGAGCTGTTCTTATATCCTCTCAGCGCATGCGAACTACGACTAAAAGCCACGTGTTCATCATGAGTGTGTGAGTTGAGTGATTGAGTAATATAGGGATTGTAAAAGCTGACCAGTGTAGCTGCCCGGTTAGCTCAGTTGGTAGAGCATCAGACTTTTAATCTGAGGGTCAAGGGTTCGAGTCCCTTATTGGGCGCTCAATTTTTTTTATCCCCTTTTCAAGAATTGCCTGCCCTTTATGGCATTGTAGTTGGTCAAAAAGAACGAAGCGGGCAGGATTGCGACGTGATGGCTTTTTTTACCCACGGTGCAAGCAAAAGCGAGATCAATACAGTGAGGGGTAGACCTGGGGTAGATATTCGCCGTGGCAACGCACCCAATCTGCACAACTGCCTACAGAGGTAGGTGGTTTGAACTGACGGACGGCATTGACGAGTTGTTCCGGAGGGAAGATTCCACTGCTGGTGATTCGGTTGCCAAGAAACATGACTTCAGACTCGGCAAGCTGACACTTGTCGGGTTTGATTACTAGGCCATTGTCACCCAGACGTTATGGAACTGCTCATCAATGAGTTCAGTGTGATTCAGTATCTTGCTGGTAACCGGAACGCCGGGATCGCGCCGTGATTGAAATGCTGCGGGCATGCGTGTACAAAAGATCACGGGTATTGACTATTGAGCGCATGCGTACTGTACTTATGCGTGGTGCTGGACAAGTTAACGTAATGAAGACAGTGTAGCACCGTGCACTGTTCCGTAGCAAGAGGACATAAGCCAGAGCATACACATCCGCATTTGGGTTCTGGACTGCGGAACTCGTCCTTTACATGACTTTTTGATGGGTCATGGAAGCCGAGGTCCGTGATTCTGCTGCTGTGGTGCTGCAGAGATTGTCAAGTTTGATCGGATATACTGTACCATATTTTCTCTAATAAAAGTCCAGGTCTCCAATAATAGCCCAGTCTCCCATAATGACCCGGGGTGCGGGCTGTTTGAAATAATAAGAGCACAGTCTCTAATAGTAGCGGGGGCCACGGAGTATGCAGCAAGTATATTGACTGCATATAAAACAGCAGTATAGAATGCCAAGTACAGTGTACATAATTATTTGTAAGGCCCTCTACAGACTACGTACATAGAAAGTCCAGTACAAAATCACATCTAACCTAAAAGGCAACATTTTTCCACGCCTACATTCAGACTACACATTTTACATGCATTATACAGGCAACCTTTGACGCTACGCAATTGCGCGATGGGCCTGGGATGTGTGAAAGCAGCCTGCAGTCGTACCCGGGTACAAAGTTTGTACGACTGCCTGGTGAAAGTACGATAAATGCAGGAAAGCTGCCTTGTACTGTACAAGGGTTCGCATTCAGCCTGAAAGGATTGGGCAGCTTTTTAGGCTTCCCGCCAGATTCTTGTTGTTGTCTTGGAAACTTCTATGTAAATGTGACTTATAGGCTGTTTTGTACCTAGTCTGAAGAGGGCCTACTACTTCCTTCCTGGCGCCCATGCTATTGTGAAACATCAGTTTTAACAATTTTCCTGAGTTTGGGGTTGAGAAAATCGGTCTGGATATGGTCAGTTTATGCCTATATAGACTGGAGATGGCTTGATAATGGAGCATTGTAATAGTAGCGCGGGTAGAGCTGTCACTGAAAAAAAAATAAGAACCCCGGGCTCTGATTATAGAAAATATGGTATGTGATCGGTGTAGCTGCCCGGTTAGCTCAGTTGGTAGAGCATCAGACTTTTAATCTGAGGGTCAAGGGTTCGAGTCCCTTATTGGGCGCTCAATTCTTTTGTCCTTTTCCGAAACAAATGTGGATAGCGAAAGTTCATACCGGTACCAAGAGTGCATAAAAAAGCACGAAGAAGTGTAAAAACAACAGAAAAATGATATGGCACCCATTTTGATAATCCAGGGGATGGCCCACGCCTGGTACTGCCACTGCATTATAAACCATACGTAATGACTGATAAAAGGTGTGAAGCAAACTAATAACAAACGTGTAAATGAAAATCGCTGCTAGATCACACGAATGCCAAGTCACACCGCAAGAGCTAGTGCCCTGGAATCACTGCCTCCGCAGTAACAAGAGAAGCAGGGGTGGTAGAGTCGACGCAGGCCTTGAGGCTGCGGGATCCACAGAGACACATGACGCTCGCCCGGAGGAGCGCAAAGCTTAGGCGGCAGCGGACCCATGCCATCACCACACTGTACGGCTCCTTGCTCTTCTCCTAGCAGGCACGCAATACGCTTATACAAAGCTGTACAGTGGCGACTCATTCCACCTGTTGTGGCAAACACAGCTGGCGCAAATGAAGCATGTTCCACGTCGCGGATACGCTGCTCGTACGCCCGGCGTTTCTCCTTCTCCTGCCGAGTGTAGGTTGAGGCCAGTGAAGTGGCCCGGTTTGAGGACGCATACAGGTTAAAGGCCACTGGCAGCTACATCCAGACGAGCCTGCTCTTCCACAATAGCTGAGTGGTAGCGAAACCGCTCTCCTGTGACAGGCTGGAGGTGAGGTTCCACGGCGACATTGTGGGCAACTTTCTTCAGCAGACTTGCCGTGATGTCACGCACTTCGTTGTGACGGATGGATGGAAACCCACCCGTCGCACAGGAAAGTGCATGGCAGGTAGTGAACCTGGCACCACAGGAGCAATCTGACGGCAGACGGTCTGGCAACCAATTGTACCGGAGGTACACCCCGTCGCGGAATTCACCCTTACTGAGAGAGAAGCCATGACGTGCGAGGGGCCTACAGGTCAGCCAACTTGAAGCACCCCTCTCAGAGGCAAGTTGGATGACACGCTGCTGGTCGGCATCAAGGGTAGCAGTAATCATCGTGACCTCATCCCGCAGTGCACCCTGAGATTGGGAGGTGGCAAGACGCTTCTGGGTGCGAATGGACATCAGTGCATCACCCAGAAATGGGTCCTGGTGGAGAATCCGTTGCACTAGGGAATCGGTTATGGCAAGGGACGACTGATGCTGCGAAGCCATAGAGCTGGGGACGACGAGGCCCAGACCACCAAAACGGCAGGGCAAAGCGAGCAGAGTGCGTTCCATGTTACTAACCGGACGACTCAACAGAGCCGGGATGAACTTACTAGTGACTAAGGAATCCAATTCTTCCAGAGCCACAGCCAGCTGAGGTGTCGTGCGGCAGAGGAAAGCCCATTTGCTCTTGAACCCGTGGACGAAGGCAGAATAAGCTGCTTGAGGCTGGGTCAGAGCAATCTCGGATAGCTTCGTGAGCTGATCGCACCAGGAGCGTGCCGCTTCCTCAATGTACCGGGTGATGAATTCAGGGGAGCCAATGGCTGACCCCAGATATCGGGATCGGGGGGGGGGGGGGGGGGGGGGGGGAGTGCATAAATAATGTTTATGGACTCTTGCCGGTACAGTCATGTACATGAAAAAAAACAAAAGCAAAACATGAAACCCAAAGTTTACGTTACTCTGGGAATACTGTATTCCCTCACTAGTGGGACCATTGTTATTAGGCTAGGGCCTGTTTTGGACTTCCCACTCTAAATAAAGAATACAAACAAACAAACAACAAACAAACAACTGTATACTAAATTTCTTGGTTGACGTCGGCGGACTACACCATAGCTTAGTGGTAGAGCATTGCTGGCCATAAGCAAAGGTCCCTGTACTGGTTCGAGTCCTGTTGGTGACAGTCAATTTTTCCCGTTTGCATCTTTCCCTCAAACCAATGAATACAACGTTTTGGCAACTATTCAATTTCAGCTATATTCGGCGCCGACCCAAAAATACCTAAACGCCGATGATATGTTTCACGTGGACTTTGGTGATATACTACTGAAGACTGAAGTAGTTTTATTAACCCTGTGCTGAAAATAAATCGCTGCCGAAATGTCGAAAATCGTGAAATGCTGAAATTTTGCAGCGCTGAAACCTTGTATATTTACGGTATCCAGTAGGAAGCGAACACAGCGCTGGTAAAATGCTGCAAGCTGACGAACATTCACAACCTTTATTGGCCAGGTCTCGCGGCCATACAACAGTGTCGAATATACATGTATCTTCGTCTTGACATAGAAATAGCGGTCATCTGGCCATCCGAAGAAATGCGGCTACCGAGAAACGTGCAGCCAGGCACCAGCTCAATGCTACCCTCAGGCAACTCTAAAATGCCGGATGGTGGGCATCAATGCCCTGGTGGCTGGGTGGTCGAGATAGGTGCTTGGAAATCTAATGGCATCGCTTAGTCGCTTCATGTCACACATCGTCGTATTGCCACGATCCTTCTGTGAATCCCGCTGGTGTGCTGCAGAGGTTGTCAAGTTTGATCAGCTATAATGTGACCAGTGTAGCTGCCCGGTTAGCTCAGTTGGTAGAGCATCAGACTTTTAATCTGAGGGTCAAGGGTTCGAGTCCCTTATTGGGCGCTGTATTTTTTTATTTCTTCCAGAAGTTCTTGCATGCACTTTGTCTGTATGTCTAGCTGCTTTATATATAGGGCAGTGAAATTGATTAAAAAAGGTGATATAAAGTGGGATTGGCAGAATAATTTTTGCGACGTGCTGCGCGATGTGATGGCTTCAAGACCGGGGAAATCCCTGCAACTAGCCAAGCTCAGCATTTGCAATGGATACTGTAGTCTCCATGGGGATTCTTCCTTTTCCACGAAATTTATACATCAGGTGAAAGAGTTGTCTGTGGACTTGTATATGCTTCGAGCCGAGTCTCACGCGAACCGTGATATTCTTCTTCTTTTCTTTTGGATGTTGCTCATCGCTTGGCATGATTCCGTACGGTACGAGGTGAATTGCTATTTCTGGACATTGTACATTTCTGGACATTTCGAGTAAAATAATTTTTCGTCGCGTGTAGAGTCAAGTCAGTCAGGTTGATGAAGTTTTTTCTTGTTGTAGTTGACAGCTGGGCTGTTGTAGTTTCTCCTCGTGTCGGTGCCTTGTTGATAGCCTTTTCTTGGGAGGCATTTCAACGAGGTTTGTGGTACTATGTCGCATGAGAATTTTGAATTTTGAGTAAAATAAGAAGTAATGGACGAATTGTTGGCTTCCCCATGTGCGCTTCACTTCAGACGCTGTATAGTCTTGGACCTGTTAGCTGGAAGTGTGAAGAGGCCAACTGCAGTCCACCAATAGAAAATATAACAAAAATGGTGCAGTATAGGATGCCTATTGACGCTATTTTACTTTCATGTCCAGAATTCGATACACTGAAATTTAGGCCAAAAAATTGGCCTGTCGAAAACATCCTGTTATAAAGTCTCTGGGATCACAGCATGAGCAATTGTCACATATTTGGAAAGATGAAGGATTAGGCCATACAATAGATACAAAAAGATATGAAAAATGTAAAACACACAGCCAGTGGGCCTCTATTTTATTTTCATGTCCAGAAATTGCTATTCACCTCGTATTGCAAAAATCCCTCCGCGAATCCGACTCGAGTGGTGCAGGTATACAAGGATGATGAGCTATATTACTAATTAGATAGGTATGGCTGCCCGGTTAGCTCAGTTGGTAGAGCATCAGACTTTTAATCTGAGGGTCAAGGGTTCGAGTCCCTTATTGGGCGCTGTATTTTTTTGTTCTTTTTTTCTTGCAGCACACCACGCTACCTGGCACCGGAGCTTGTAGCAGCAGGGCCTGATTGCTGCACACCATCCAGTCCGAAGGTTAGTCTAAGGAGGTGTTCGTTTTTAGTAGGTAGAGGTGTTCGGTTTTTTCCTACTCAAAACTGAGTCTAAAGGGTAGATTCTATTTTCCTCTACCGGCTCTACCAGGAAAACGCTGGTAGAAGCCGGTAGAAGTTGGTAGAGGTATGGGATTTCCAGCAAGATGTACAACTCCATACAGAAGAGAAACTTTTCACGTACATATGAAAAACTACTAAATCCGGTAGAACAGCGTTCGTGCACTTGCCTCTACCATCTACCTCTATCGGTAGAGTGACTCTACTCTACTCTACCAGGTAGCTAAAAAAGCCTGAACTGATACGCCTGCATCCATTCCCCTTACAACTTGATCTTTTCACAGTTTACATGCTTACAAGTTACAACCTTATGGCACCCTAGCACAATTTTGGTTATCTAGTCCATTCCTATGTGTATAGTTGCATGACACTCGAATGTGTGCTGCTAAGCGAGGCCTGGCTGTGCTCACAGTGTTGCAAGTGTGTGTGTGTGTGTGTGTGTATGTGTGTGTGTGTGTGTGTGTGTGTTTGTGTGTGTGTCTGTGTGTATGCGCATTTTGTGCTTTTGCTAGGTTGATGTGTGGGCGCTTGGCATCATATTGGCCGAGGTCCTGATGGTGAGTGGTTCATATTCTTTTAATCGAATTCAAACTTAGAAGTTGCGACTTCGGCGGTGTTAGTGATGTTGTTGGTTGTTCCAACGAGGAACACACACTTCCTGCCGAACTTGACACTTGACTGACTCACAACTGCCATCCGGAGCACACGAGGAGCACGTCGCACCTTCCACTCGGCAAACGTGCAAGAAAGCACCACTCCCTGCTCAATACACAGTGTTTCGGGGAATTCACCCCTCATCAGTTGAGCCTGAGTAGGCTGAGGAAGGTTGTGCCTGAAAAGCACCACTTATATTATTATTGCACTCCAGGCCAAACCATCACGAGGGATACAAACTTGCAGAGACGCTTTGTTTCCAGTACGACAAACACCTTGTGATGTCCCAGGTAGCAGTGCGTGTCAGAGTCGCTGATGGAGGTGTGCTAAACAGACGTTGAGAGCCAGTATAGCTATTCACAACGCTGTCACCTCCAACTACTAGTCGCACGTCCGCGTGAGGAACAACAATACGAACTATTACTTAGAAGTTGCGACTTCGGCGGTGTTAGTGATGAAGTTGGTTGTTCCATGGGATATTCGCTACACAGCCAGACGCCACGTCAGGCAAGTCATCCCTGCAGCGGTGACCGTTTCCTTGTGTTGTGTGCCTGCTATCTGCTGGTATCTAGTGCGCAATACCCATACTCGAGTCCGACTGGTGTATCTTTTCAAAAAGTAGGTTATTGTGGAGAGTATCAGAAAGGTATTATCCTGCATTGTGTGACCCGTGTAATTATTCCTTACCGCATTCGAGAGCGGAAAATTCCAAAAAGATAAAGAATTAGAAATTCAGTAGTTGAGGGAACGGAAAGGGGAAAAGTCTGAAGGAGACTGCCACCACCAGGGCTTGAACCAGGTACCTTCGCTTGAGATTCAGCCAGGTTTTACAAAATTAGGGCAGGCATCCCTTGGCAAAATATGTGGAGAAGTAGATCCGAAAGCCCAGATTTCAAAGCGTGTTTTTGATCCTCAATTTGGCCCAAATCAGACTTTGAAAAGCCAGCGGGGCTATATTGGATGACTGGACTATAGTTCTAGTGACTTTAGCTATGGTGTATTGTATTTGTACATGTGCCACTCAGAGTCGTCACATCTGGCCGGACCTCGACATGCACGGTCGCCTGCGTCTGATTTTGCTGCGCGTCCTGGACTTGGCTCGGCATAGCGGTAGGTCTCTCGGGGCGTCGGCTTCACTCCGGCCACTGGCGATGTTGTCACAGCAGTTTTGTTCTACATGTGGAATCCTGATAACTACTTGAACCGGCTTAATGCGAACACACCCGTGTATTCACAACCACTTGTACGTGTGCCACAGTCAGGAGCTTATGAGATTTTCTGTCTCTGATCTCTCAGGTGGTGGGTCAAATGTCCTTTGCATGTTCCACTGCCTTAGCAGCTGCATCTGGCAGCTTTGAACTGTGTAGGCATTGGTGACCCTGTCGGCCTGTGTTTTCAGAAGTTTTATTGACTTTTGACTTTGCACTAGTTTGCACTAGGGGAATCGTGATTACTGTATTTTCCAGAGTATAAGCCGCACTTTGAACACTCAAAGTTCACCCAAAACGGGGTGTGGCTTATACTCTGATAATCAAATTAACGGTGATAAATGGATAGATGTCTGTATTTCGTGGCAGGGGGGGGGGGGGGGGCAGCTTATACTCCGGAAAATTCGGTAATTGCATTTTATTGCCGTAGTCAGTACAGTCGCCATCTTGCATTTCCGTATCCAAGAATTTGCAATTTGGTGTGAGAACAGGCAGTGGGGGACATGGTTTCGTTGACGCACACGACATGTTCACTGAGAATCGCCAACGCAGGGTGTGTGCGTGTGTTTGTGTGCGTATAAATGGATGGGCGGATGGGCGGATGGGTACATTGGTGTACATGTATTGGTATATTCAGTGTGTAAGTGAGTGAGTGTGTACCGTATAATGTATCCACTATCCAGTCATAGTATGTCCCTCCTTCACGTGCTTGTTTGTGTTGTTCATTCAGACAATCCTGTGCGACACCTGTTCCAGTCCTGTGGCTGCCTTCATCTTTATCAGGTATGTGTGTGTGCGTGTGTGTGTGTGTGCGTGTGTGTGTGTGTGTGTGTGTGTGTGTGTGTGTCCCATATGGTGCAGTGGTATGTGCAGTCGATTTCCAATCGAGAGGTTGCGGGTTCAATTCCCGACGATTATGGTCGCACACGTCTTTCTTCTCTTTCTCGGACTCTTCCTGACTTTTCTTTCATTCTCCTGGGTGGTTACCAACAGCCAGTGTATGCCGGAGTATGTGGTGTGGTGTGTGTGCGTAAAAAAAATGGAAAAATGAAAAATAGGGATTCACTGGCCAGAAAAAGTCACTTCAAACAGCTGTGTGGTGGATACCAGGCTAAAAATAGTGGCGGTCAATTCATCAGCCTTGCAAGCTGTTGAATGGTGTAATCCCAGCACAAGTTGCTATGTCTAACATAGCTGTTCGCTATCATCGCTTCCGCGATGGGCATGTCTGAGGTCTGAGGTGTGTGTGTGTGTGTGTGTGTGTGTGTGTGTGTGTGTGTGTGTGTGTATGTGTGTGTGCATGCGTACGTGTGTGAGCGAGCCTGAAGCTCCAAAGCCAGAGTACTCTAAACTGCGAGAAATGCTAATTATAAAAGAAGTTCCAGCTAAACCATTTCCATACCAATCCCATAATTATCTTTTTTTCATTCTGAAGATGACATGGTTTGTCGAAGCATTTCAGCATATCAGTTCTCATCACCAGTATCAAGCCTTGCTCCTGTTGTTTAGCTCGGCTATCTGCAGCTGTGAGGAAAACTGTACACTTTGTGTCCGTTTCCGTGCGTGTGTATGTTTGTTTGTGTGTGTGTGTGTGTGTGTGTGTGTGTGTGTGTGTGTGTGTGTGTATGTGTGTGTGTGTGTGTGTGTGTGTGTGTGTGTGTGTGTGTGTATGTGTGTATGTGGGTGTGTGAGTGTGTGCATGTGTGCGTGTGTGTGTGCGTGTGTGTGTGTGTGTGTGTGTGCGTGTGTGTGTGTGCGTGTGTGTGTGTGTGTGTGCATGTGTGCGTGTGTGTGTGCGTGTGTGTGGGTGTGCGTACGGGTGTTCTGTGTGTTCGCTAGGCCCTTGATCCCGATGTGGACGAGTTGCTGAAACTGTGTCTGACCATCTTGCCCTCTAAGCGGTAAGCGAACACCGGGGTGGCCTTTGATAAGTGAATACAGTGCACTTGCTCGCCTGGTTTACTTTTCCATTCCTGATGATGAAGGTCTCATGCTTCCTTCTTCTCTTTCTCATCCCCCCCCCCGGTTGTTATCAACAGCCAGTGCATATAAGAGTATGTGATGTGATGAAAAAAGAAAGAAAAGGAAAACATGATGAACGCAGGGAAAAGAATGAAGGCCAAACAGTAGGGTTCACTCTGGCCAGAAAAGCCACTTCAAAAATGCCGTGTGGTGTAGACCAAGGTAAATGGTGGCGGTCAGTTCTTCAGCCCTGCGAGCTGTTGAATGGTGCAATCCTAGCCTATGAAAGTGTCATGGAGTACGAGGGGAAATCAAACAGACGATACTAGAATACTGTGGGGTGGTGGTGGTGGAGGGGGAGGGGGTAGCTAGGATTGACGATGCGAGCTCTGATGGCAGTGATGCAGAGGGGCATACTATTTCCGAGGCCTGGGACGGGGGGGGGGGGGGGGGTCATCTACAGTCAGATCGGGCGCTGAAGAACGCAGGGGTTGAAGGTGCAGCCTGGCATTTGTCTAAAATTTTCAACTGTTAGTCATTTGGTTCCTATTCCGTGATCACGAGAACTTGTCCTTGTAGAAAACAGTACATGCGCGTACACAGTACACGTCTGTTCTTACTTTTAATCTGAGGGTCAAGGATCTGAAAATCTAACCTGGATTGTCGTTAAATTTGTGCGCTTTCTAGCCTAAGTGTCTTTCGGCGCCCGATCTTACTGTAATGCCATAATAGCCAGTTGGTAACATAAGCAGAAAACACATAGTCTGATCTTAATGCTCAGATGAGAGGCTGGCAGGCCGGATTGCTGGCACAGGACCAGACAGGCAAATAGACGGACAGACTAACTGACAGTCACCAGTGCATTTGACAGACCAGGGAACATACGGATATCATGTATGGGAGAAAGGCAGCGGCAGGGAAAGTGAGAGAGAGAGAGAGAGAGAGTGTGTGTGTGTGTGTGTGTGTGTGTGTGTGTGTGTGTGTGTGTGTGTGTGTGTGTGTGTGTGCGTGCGTGCGCGTGTGTCTCAAGAAGAAGGCCACAAACAACAAGAATGCGTACAATAATATGCAGGCATGCGCAACCTGCGCAGTCCGCACACCGACCACGCGGACCCAGCACACGCGTGCCAAAAGGGGCACATACCCTCCAAAAGGGCAGGGACAACATGTGTGTGCGTGTGTGTGCGGTGTGTGTGCGGTGTGTGTGTGTGTGCGGTGTGTGTGTGTGTGCGTGTGTGTGTGTGTGTGTGTGCGTGTGTGTGTGTGTGCGTGTGTGTGTGTGCATGTGTGTGTGTGTGTGTGTGTTTGAGGATAAAATAATATTGCTGCACTGGGTATGGTTACTATTGTCATGTTGCTAATGCCACTGTTCCAGTCCATAGTTCTTTGGCGTTTTTTTTCATGGTATTTTGCTACATGTGTGTGTGTGTGTGTGTGTGTGTGTGTGTGTTTGTGTGTGTGTGTGTGTGTGTGTGTTTGTGTGTGTGTGTGTGTGTGTGTGTGTGTGTGTGTGTGTGTCTGTGTGTGTTTCGGTGTGTGTTTTGGTGGTGCACTGCAGACCCACAGCCGAGGAGCTGCTGCAGCATCGCCTGTTTGCAGCTTTCAGCCAACGATCACAGGATGGAATGGTACGGGCAGAGTTGGCAGAGGTGTGGGAACAGTGGGCTTAGGACGGTGCATGTGTACTGGTAGTTAGGACAGTGATTTCCACAGTGTTTTCCTGCCATACGTTTGGTGTGTCCCTGGACGCAAGTGTTGGGCATATGAACGTAAGCTTAGACCACCCATGCCCCAACGGGGTCTGATCTTTCTTGGATCAGAATATCTCTTGAAGCAAGTCAGAACAAATCGGAACACCCACGCGCACACACGCGCACACTCAAGTGCACGACATGTCTGTCTCATTCCACTGAAATATTTGTCCGGTACTGACCATTTTGTTCGCCCATGCCCACTCTAGGAGGTTCTGGACCCAGGCACGTCATGCTTTGATCGCATGGACCGCTGCAAGCATTTGAATCTGATCGGTATCGAGCCAAGCATGAGTAAGTGATGTCAAGTCGGTCATGCATAAAACAAGGTGCCGAATGCATGTAAATTGTGTGCGTGCGTGCGCGCATGGCCTATGGTGTTGTGATGATGTCATTGAGCAAGGACATGTATATAGTGGATAAATTGGGTTGGGAGTTGCTATGATTTCTTTTGGACAATTCAAATATTCAAGAATATGCTCTTTGATAATAGTCGATTGAGTGACTGAGCAAAGATGTATGCCTGTGATGAAAGAACAGTCCTGCGTAAGGACCGGCCCGCCGCGGGCTACGCCGCTTTGCCCGCCAAGGGCTATATCATCCAGCCCGCCGTGGGCCAATCACATACTGCCCACCGAGGGCGCCCGAATGGCCACCAGGGCCAGCAAACTCGCCCGCCGCGAGCTAAACTAGCATCTGCCCGCCGAGGGCGCATGAATGGCCACCACGGCCAGCCAACTTGCCCGCCACCGGGGGCTAAACTAGCATACTGCCCACTGAGGGCACATGGATGGCTAAACTAGCCTACTGCCCACCGAGGGCGCGCACATGGCCGCCGAGACCAGCAAACCGCCCGCCGAGGGCTAAACCAGCATACTGTAAAACATGTATAATGTTCGGTGTCACTTTAATTTCGGTGATTTCGGGAGAGAAACCAGGCACCTAAATTTAAATTACACCTAAAAGGCACTAGAGTATGCACTGTATACGCGGAGAAAGCTGGTCACCTAATTCTACATTACACCTGAAACCTGGCAGGTCCCTGGCACCGAAATTTTAATGCACTTAAAATTACATGTTATACAGTAGTACCCACTGAGGGCGCACAAATGGCCGTCGCCGGGGCCAGTAAACCGCCCGTCGAGGGCTAAACCAGCAGACAACCCATCGAGGGTGCGCAAATTGCCACCTAGGCCAGCAAACTGCCCGCCGTGGGCTGATATCATCTTGCCCGCCTAGGGCACACAAACAGCCACCGAGGCCAGGAAATCGCCCACCGAGGGCTCACACGACTGCCTGGCATCAGGCATCACAGCATACAGACAGAATAGGCGGCCCGTTTGCCCCAAAACGGATAGTAGTCCTAGAAACCATGGCACCCCGTTCCCCGCAACCCACAACGAGCTAGCTTTGTGACCACGGCTGCAAATGCAGTGGATTGCACAACGGTAATCTAAGCAGTGCACCCGTGCCCGTGCAGGCATACACAACACTAGTGACAATGGCCAGCGCCGCTCACCAACCTGAGCAGCGCTACCGACCAACTTACAAGCTAGGCATCCCGGCTGCCTTACGCACGTACCGTTGGCATGCAGAGCTTCTCCAGCGGCCCGCCCGCTTCACTTGCCCCACACTGAGCCATGAGTGACGCGCCACCTATGCGCATGGAGTAAGAGCTAACCTCGTTCGTTCTCAGGGATAGCCGCAGAATCTTGGTCAGATCCTCCCTGGTCAGAAACCGGCCGGACGCGAACACAAACACCGGCTCCGTCGCCTCTCTCTCTGACCCGCGAGGTCCAGATAAGCGGTCAGGGCACGAACTGGGCAGAAGTCGCCACGCGTCTCACGCAGCTCTACTTGGCTGCCATCACCCAGCTGGGCTGTCTTTGTCACCCGCAAGCGGACGGCTGCCAGCTGCAATGTCGTCTGGTGAAACCTCCGCCTCCGAGCAGGCTTGCACGGGGGCTCATCCTCCACCATAGTTCCTGTCGAACCCGGCTTTACGAAGAGTAGCTATAAGCTCGACTCTCCCAGGCCCCTTCGCGTACACTCCGCAGGATTTGGCAATTTGTACAAGCCCGTACTGGGTTACAATTGTGCTGCAGTTGGACCAGAGTAGGAAGTGCTGTAAGTCTGCCAGATCTTGCCCGGTGGGACCTCTCCGCTTCACGGCTGCGGGACCCTGCCTCCTCTCGAGGCCCTTGAGAACTGCAGAAAGACGGGCAGACTGCATACAGGTCACAGGGACACGCTTGCACAGCAGGTGATACCGCACAGCTGACAAAGATACACGCACAGTCACCACACACCTCGTACGGAACAGCTCAGTGGCAAATAACACAATATCCTCGTTAGAGGGTGCAATGGGGTTGATGATATGTTTAGCGCAATAATTATGGAAGGCATCAATGCCAGTTGAGAAAGTTTTCGCTGAGCGTTCCGACACTGAGCCCGCTACGAGGGCATCAGCCTGGGGGGGGGGGGGGGGGGGGGTTGGCGGCGAAGGACAGCATGCCAATGAGGGACAAGAGCTCGCGCTTTGAGCAGTCAGTGCGCTGGAGCCAAGTTTCCAATGCTGTGTGGAGGGCGGACAACTTGTCCTGGGGGAGCCGGGTCACCTGCTCCGCACTGTCGACTTCGATCCCCAGCACACTCATCACAGTGGTTGGAGAGACGGCCTTATCCTGGCCGGTAGCCACCGGAACGCCCAAGTTCTTGAAAACGGCCAACAGCATAGCCTGTTGAATGGCTGGATTAGATGATGGTGGAGAGGGGCTGGGCAGGGCGACACCAGTATAGTCGTCCAGATAGTGTTCGAGGTCGTCCAGGGAATAATTGTGCCCGAGTATCCAACATAGGGCATCTGCCAGCAGGTTGAAGAGAGCTGGGGAAGACCGCAGTCCGAATGGCAGGACCTTGTCGAAATAATACTGCCCGCCCCAAACCATACCCAGTAGCGGCCAATCATGGGGGCGGACGGGGATGTTGCGGAACGCGTGGCGGATATCCGCCTTGTACATTAGTGCACCCTTGCCGTGACGGATAGCGTGCGCCACGGTGACGTCCACAGTGATGTACTGGAGGATGTACTGCTCTTCGGGGATGCCATCGTTGATACTAGAGATGCACTATCAGGCGGTGGCCACTGGCCACCAGACCTCTTCGGGATGACACCGATGCCAGCCAAACGGAAGTTGACGAACGGGGGTTGCGGAAGCGGACCGACCATATGCCCAAGCTGAACCTCCTTAGCGAGGTAAGCTGAAACAATCTCAGGGGAAACAAATGCCGAGGCAAGATTCTTGCGTGCGCTTATGAAACTCAATACGTCAAATATTGGGTTTCTTTGTCGGCGAAGAAAGTGCTTGACCGCCTCCAAAATGTCACACGCATCAGGATTGCTCGCGAGGACAATGGTGCCCTCCCTGATAAAGCGTCTCAGGTCTTCATCAAGGCACTGACGGATGGCAGACACCCTGGTTTCTTTCGACTGTGCTGTCAGGTGCTGGCACCGAGAAAAGTCTTCCCACAGTTCCTGCCAGGCAACAAACTCTGACAGAGACGCGGAGGACAGCAGCATGGGTCGCTCCGCCGCGACAGGCTTTGGAGCTGGCGGTGCTGACGACGAGCGAGGCTGACTCTGCTGAGTAAGGCCAGTTATAATTGCAGCAAGACGCTTCTCTCGTTCATCGGCTGCCTCCATCTGCTTTTTCAAGAGATCGGCAAGAGCAGCGATATCTGCGCTCGGCACACTTGGTGCAGCTGCATCTGACATTTCGGAAGACGGTCACGACTAGAGAAATAAATAATATATAATTGGACCTGCAGGCCTCGTGCGAACACAACCGGGATGCACCACGGGCAAGAAAAACACAGGTACAAATCTTCACTGCGCCATGTTATGCTCTCATGTCATCATGCACACCACTACTACTAGACAATGGTAACTAGTTTCGTGACAAGATATAGAAACTAATTATTTACATTCTCAAGTGAGGAAGAAGAGCAAGGAGAAGAACATAATGAATCAAGAATATGGATGCGTGCATGCGTCCAATAGAGACGTGACGTAATCACGTGAAGCAAGGCGTGTAACGTAACAATACGCGTTATACGGGTGATAGCAACTTGAAGTACATGCGCAATGCATGAGTAGCTAGCATGATACATCAACAGCAACGAACGATGGGGAGCGGCATAACCAACTGTAAAACTATAGCGCAAACCATCTAACAAATAAGTGACGAATGCAGGATCGGGGTGTGTGTGTAATTCAATTTCTAATGCATCAAGAACAATTGGAGTGTGAGGAGTGTGTGTGGGAAAAACTACGACTTGACAGTTGACACACAAACTGCAACTGCAAAGTATGCTCCTTCGCACCAAGACAGCTCAGCAAAACAAGTCTCCAAATTAGACGCCATATCTACGATTGTCCGTAAAATTTTGCCATGCCACACGCTGAGCACGCGGCTTAGTCACGAGGTAGTTACATGACACGCGCTCGCAGCACTCCACCACCAGCATGCGTGTGCCTGGGCTAACTAGGTTTTGCTGTGCAAAGCCCACATGTAAAACCTGCACTAACGGTGCAGCGGAAACTGTCCTGATACGACAGGATTCCGCTTGATCCAGGGATGCACGGTCAATCCACAGCGCTTTGGTGCATGAGAAATTGTCCGGTCAATACAGAATTCCGTTTGGTACAGGGTCCGGCAAACACAGGTTTTACTGTATTTGATTTGTGTGTATATTTTCTATTCTGGTTCCTGGCCAGGCCGGCGTGGCGGATTTGACGAGGACGTGGAGGAGGAGGATCCGCTGTCTGTGAGGTGAGTAGTAATGTACTGCATTGTGCATACTGGTATTGTGGGCATTGACGTGTTCTATGTGAGTGTGTTGCCATTCAGTTGTGTGTGTGTGTGTGTGTTGCCATTCAGTTGTGTGTGTGTGTGTGTGTGTGTGTGTGTGTGTGTGTGTGTGTGTGTGTGTGTGTGTGTGTGTGTGTGTGTGTGTTGCCATTCAGTTGTGTGTGTGTGTGTGTGTGTGTGTGTGTGTGTGTGTACTTTATATCCATGGTATGTTGTATCCATGGTATGTTATATCCAGAGTTCATTATACTGAGGTGTTTTACCCCATCTTGTCTTGTTTCCTTGAACTGGCAGAACACAGAAAGAGGTGCTCTACTGGTGGAGGCTGGCCGGCGGTGACCTGGACCAGGAGCTGCGCAAGTGTGGTCTGATTCGCTCACAACCACCCGTTACCGGCCTACCGAGGTAACTTCACCAACATTTGGCTATCGGACGAATCTTCTTCTTTGATCTCATGTGCTCGCAATACATGTACATTGAAACCTGTCTCAGAGGATCGCTCGGGGGACCTTAGAAATTTGCTCTCCGTTTGCAGGTTGTCTCCTTATCCAGGGCCATTTCACTGGAAATAACATCCCTGGGTCCTAGTTGTAGTGATCTTCTGGGGCAGATGGCCGCCTTAAGCTGATAATATTGTAGGAAATGTCTTTCTGAACAAAAGTGAGAAAGCATGCCTGTACAGTGTACCTATATGTTGGACCAGTTCTTGGCAGGGCTGAGTGTGTTATGGTGATCGCGTGTTGCTGCTGTTGGACTAAGACCCTGCCATTGCGCTGCTCGCCATTCTGTGTGCTACAGTGGGGTGCTGGTCGACGGAGTCACGTTTGGTCAGGCGCAGGGCTCGGTGTACCGCTTTGATGACACAGTCGTCCCGCTTCCATTGATCAGCCTGCGCGAGGTGAGCCATCATGGACTTATCATTTGTGCTGCTGCATTCCAACAGGAAATTAAGTGTGGTCAAGTATTTCTTTTAGGTGTAGAACGTCAGTACCGTTGGTCAGTGTCGGGCAATGTTATCGCATGAGCTGATTGTAAAGTAACTGGTGGTGTTAGGGGACATTATAGCGTACCTTGTAGTTCTTTGGTCTTCACTTCTTCTTATAAAGTATTTCATCAATTAGCTTCATCTGTTCATACCTACGATGTACTCAATCTGTGAACAGCTACATGTAGCTGCTTTGACCTTGTCAGGTCTCATCAGCGGAGTTCAGAGTGACTGGCTGAACCAATCCCGATGAGGTCTATTGAACAACACGTGGCTTTGTTTGTTTTAAACTGGCTCAAAGTGTCAAAGTCACTCAGAGTGCTCTATCTGCGATATACTAGTACACAGTGAGCTTTGCACCAGGGCAGATAACTGCGACGCTAACCAGAAAGAGTGCTCGACCAAGCCGAGGCGAGGGAGCGTGGTACGCTCTTCACACCTGTATTATTTTGGTGGGTCAATTGGCTGCTTCCAGTGAATCCGGCCCCACTAGACTGTGTGGCTGTTGTGAACTGCTTGATTTAGACCTTGATGCTTTGAGCCGGTTTAGATATGCTTTGGTGTTCACTGGACTTCATTGTGATCAGTTTGGCCAGGAACTCTGAACTCCGCTGAGGAGACCTAACCAGGTCGAAACAGCTAGCCGTCTGGAGATTGAGTAATCTAGTGTTTGTATGTGTAAGTGTATGTGTATGTGTATGTGTATGTAGGCTCAACTTGGTGTTGAGATACCAGCTGAAAAACTATCACAAGATGAGGTGCACCATTGCTGTTGTTCGTCCGGCTGGAGTTGCTTGCATTTGCCTTGCACAGTGCGACGGGTTGCGTATAGTGCTAATCATTTACCAACTAGACGGCTGTGTTGAGCGGATTGTTCTCCCTGTGTCTCTGCTGTGTGTGTGCCCGCGTAGAGAGTGAAGCAGCTTGGACCCGAGTGTTTCTATCCACTCTTAGAGAAGGAAGGGTGAGTACAAGTGATAGACTGCCTGCACTTATTGTTCTCACTGATACAATGCATTGAAACCATTTTTTGAAGATGTTATTTCGTAGACACTGTGTTTCTTATCCGTAATCACCTATCAAGCTGTCACCAGCAGATTGTACCTTGTTGTTTTGGGATTGCTTTTCCGCAGCCAGAGTAGAATTTGTCTAAACGAAGCAGGGTGACTTCAGTCCACTCAACCCAAATTGGCACCCTGACTTGGTGTATCGCACATCTAGCCGTAGATGTAATGATAAAAAAATGTACATACTGCAGTGCGACGCGTGTACGTGTATTTCTCCCTTGGCATATTTGAGGCCGGAAAAGTCCAAGGAATTCAAGGATAAAGACTTAGAAATCCTTTCTCTTTACTTGGAAATTCGACCAGGTTTTATAAAATATGGACAGGTATACCATAGCAACATGGTTTGGGTTTAGCCTTAATCCGGCCAAAATTGGGCTTTCGAAAGACAGTGGGAGTATTTCTGACTACAATAATGGACTGCAGGACACGAGCAGTACTACTACTATGAGGCCAAGCGGTACTTAGATTTGAAGGAATCTCTGTCTCTGCTGCAGGTGTATTCACTGCCTGATTTATTGTTGTGTTCTTCTCCACTGCACTGCACTGTTTGCCTTGCAGAACATCTGAAGGTCAGCCCACCGAAGCACAGGCCCAGTTACCATTGGCTATACGAGAGCGCGACCTGGACTATCAGGTAGGTCACAACGTCTTGCTCTGAACAAGCAGCGACTACAGTCAACCTTGTGAATAACACTACCCTCTATCGGCCATGAGTGTTGCAGCCCTAGCTAGCCCTGCGAACACTGGGCTGTGCACTGGTGCAGGGCACTGTGCAGCCCTAGCCCTGCGAACACTGGGCTGTGCATTGGGGCAGGACACTAACCTTGGCATGAGGCCGAATTTCATCGCGAACACCTGTGTTGTGCAGTTATGAGTGCAGTGTTATGGGCACAATGATGCTGCTCCGCGATCAACACCAACTTGATCCCATTTTATAGAAAAGAAAAGGGACCAAGGAACTACAAGTTACGCTATAATGTCCACTAACACCACCAGTTACTAAACAATCAGCTCATACGATAACACTGCACGACACTGACCGACGGTATTGATGTTCTACAACTAACTGGCTAACAGCTCTAGCACATCTTGGATGCGCACTCCAACAGCCTTCCAACTTTCCAACTTCCAGCCTTCCAACTTCTATAAATTTATCCTTGGCTCTCCATCCGTGTCCATTCTTGATCCCATTTTATTTGATTTTTGTTCCATTGCAGATCCAGAGACTAGTGTATTTCCAGCGTCTGTTAGAGGTAAGATCAACTGCATCGCGGCCCAGCGTTTGTTCATGACAAAGGCTGAATGTTTTTTTTTCGTGGAGTTCGGTTTAGAAGTTTCTTGCAATGGCTGTAATGTTGCTATGCTTGTTTTTACGTTTTGCCATGTGCATGTTGTGCTGTCTCGCGCTTGCTGACTGTAGATCACGAATATAATATCAAATGCATTACTTTTGAGGGAGGTGAAGAAAAAATTGACTGTCACCACCAGATATTTCTTTGTGCGTTATATTTTCGTATATTTTGTACGGATCCCAGGCTAGGCGTGTGAAATTAGAACGACCTGTGACGCCAATCGTACGAAATATACTGGATTTCAAGTTAGTGAATGGCTCATGTTCTGCTGAGACAGCTTGATTTACAGTGCTGGCAACTGAAATCCAGCCCCCTGAGCGGTGCGCTCACATGGCAAAGACCCGGCTTGGGATTGTAACACTACGAAATACGAATATAATATCAAATGCATTACTTTTGAGGGAGGTGAAGAAAAAATTGACTGTCACCACCAGATATTTCTTTGTGCGTTATATTTTCGTATATTTTGTACGGATCCCAGGCTAGGCGTGTGAAATTAGAACGACCTGTGACGCCAATCGTACGAAATATACTGGATTTCAAGTTAGTGAATGGCTCATGTTCTGCTGAGACAGCTTGATTTACAGTGCTGGCAACTGAAATCCAGCCCCCTGAGCGGTGCGCTCACATGGCAAAGACCCGGCTTGGGATTGTAACACTACGAAATAGAGGATGCTAGAATGTGAACGCACCGCCCAGGGGGTCGGATTTCAGTTGCCACCGGTTTAGTTTCATGTACCTGGGTATGTGCGTGTACTTGCCACTGACGGTACGCATCCTGTATGTGCGTTTTCGTATGCTCAGGGCTACCCGTACTCGCGTGACAGGCTGTCGAAAGCAGCTCAGCACGACATTCCACCGCCGGTGCGTGCTCACATCTGGGCTGCACTCCTTGGCGTCAAGGTAAGCAAACTAAGCAGCTCAGTAATGACAGTACTGAGTAGCAGGTAACATGCTATTGACAGATTGTTTCAACCGCATGTAAATGTAAAGTTTGTAAACACCTTTAGTTAAGGAGTCGTCGCAAAAGTGTTCTGTCGTCCCTGATTCCTGAAACGAACATTGTTCGTTTCGTACTTCGAGCCCCTCCCCTCCCCTCCCTCTGAAACGAACGCAGCTTGCTATGCTGGACAACGCAGCTTGCTATGCTGGACAACGCAGCTTGCTATGCTGGACAGCGCAGCTTGCTATGCTGGACAACGCAGCTTGCTATGCTGGACAACGCAGCTTGCTATGCTGGACAACGCAGCTTGCTATGCTGGACAGCGCAGCTTGCTATGCTGGACAACGCAGCTTGCTATGCTGGACAACGCAGCTTGCTATGCTGGACAACGCAGCTTGCTATGCTGGACAACGCAGCTTGCTATGCTGGACAACGCAGCTTGCTATGCTGGACAACGCAGCTTGCTATGCTGGACAACGCAGCTTGCTATGCTGGACAACGCAGCTTGCTATGCTGGACAACGCAGCTTGCTATGCTGGACAACGCAGCTTGCTATGCTGGACAACGCAGCTTGCTATGCTGGACAACGCAGCTTGCTATGCTGGACGACGAAAATCACATGTATGTACAGTGTCAGTCAACTTGTGATTTTGGCTCGCATCCCCCCCCCCCCCCAACGAATGATGTTCGTTTCAGGGATGACAAATAACTTTTGGACGACCCCTTAGAGCACTCTGACTTTGACACTTTGAGCCAATATAAAAATGCTTTGTTGCTCACTCGACCTCATTGCGATCGGTTCGGCCAGTCACTCTGTGAGCTCCGCCGATGAGGCCTAACAAGGTTGAAGCAGCTACATGTAGCTGTGGAGATTGAGTATAAACGTGAACATGTGTGTCTGAATACTGCCTGAACTGTGTACGTGCCCGTACACTTGACGCGAGTTGTAGCAGCTTGAGAGAATGCTCGACATACCTGAAAATTAGATTACTACAGAGAAGGGCAAAGAAAACTGTCTTGCTTTGACACCGAATTTCACGCACAGTTCTAACTAAACATCAAACAGCACTGACTAGTGTCTGGTGATAGATCTGTGTGCATGTGTTTGCAAACTTTGCATGCATGTGTTTGTGTTTGCATGTGTGTGTGTGTGTGCTACTAGGGTGATTACCGGACGGCATACGAACAGATCGACAAAGACTCCGAGACCAACACAGATCGTCAGGTATTGCTAATGTCACCAGTGCACTTTATATACGACTGTTCCTTGCAAGTAACTGTTAGACATTGGGCCACACATGCTGTGAATTACAAACAGTTACACTTATCCGACTGACTGTGTCAAGCCTGCGGTCCAAGTTGCCAAAGTCGCACACTTGTGTTCCCTTTTGCACCGTGTATTGGCTGCTTTTGATGTCCAGAATGAGAGTTTTGTTATTATCTAATTTCCTTCTGTGCTGTGTTTACTCTGATTGCATAGATTGAGGTGGATATCCCCCGATGTCATCAATACAACTCGTTGCTGGCCTCGCCCGAAGGCCACCGCAAGTTCAAGCGTGTTCTCAAGGCCTGGCTCAGCTCCAACCCGAACTGGGTCTACTGGCAAGGTAGGCTGGTGTCACTCGCACCTCGCCCATTGCATGCACCACTAACTACTAACTGCACACGTTTGTTTTTCACCGAAATGCCCCGGATACGCGGGGGAGCCGGATACTCGTAACCAGAAATGTGGTAGTCGGCTGAACTTGAAGAAATTTGCTCCAGCCAATTTCTGGCCAGTTGGCAAGGGAACTAGATACTAGTAAAGGAGAGCTGGAAAAGGAAGGTCTGACTCCACTAGTACATGTACAGTGCAACATGCCGTAGTAGATACCTCTCAACAGTGGACGCCTACACGTTCAGGACAAATTAGCTCTGTGCCACTTGCTCCCGAAGCTGTAGTACATTCTGCGAGCAGTACACCTCATCCGGGTACGGAATACCCTTGCAGGCCGAAGCGGCTAGCAGCTAGGAGTGCGGTGTGGAGATTGAGATCATGCACGGTGCAGACATGTCTACTTCCCGACGTGTCCCTGATTGTGAGATTCCACCGTGTACACTGCTGCTACTGCTGCTGAAGTGATTGCATGGCTCTGGCTGGGTGGTCGCTTTGACTTGCGCTGTACATGTTTGGAAATTCTGGTTTGGTTCCTGTACAGCAATGAATGTTTTTTTGGATCTGAAGTTTGTCTAACGTCATTCACTGCTGCTCTCAGTCACGCCGTAATCGTGCTGATTACACTACTAGCAATTACAGACCCCCTGTGGCCAGCCGTATTTACTAGTATCCTACCGGTATATAGCCAGGTGTGCTGATTGCAGAATTCATTACAGCTTGAGTGACTATTTGAGTGTCTGGACGAATGTGTCCTAAATGCAAAGGTCTTCTCTAGTGAGGTGTCTACTGGATGAGGTTCTACTACAGTGACATTGTCGCCGACATGGCACGATGGCGATCACCATTCATCTTTGGCGTTCGCTCTTACCGTATGTCCGCACCTTTAAAGCCATGGAGGTATATTTGATTATAAAGCCAGTCTCGGTTATAAAGCCATGGGCCTTATAAATAAAATTATATTTGAAGTATGTTTTGTAAAAATGAAATAATTAGTACTATACTAACAAACTTACAGCCCAGCAGGAAGGGTGAACAAGTGGATTTAGATTGAAATTTCTATGTGGACTTTGGCTTTTATGGCATGGCGTATGGGTGAGTCATTTTGCATCTAAAATAGCTAGGAAAGCAGCGGTGTTTCGGCGCTGACATACGGTAAGTGTACACACCGGGTTTGTATACCATTGTCAGATTCTGAGTGCGGGTTTTATCTTTTCTTTGTGCTAGGAATCGACTCTCTGAGTGCAGCTTTTATCTGGCTCAACTTCAACAACGAAGGTGAGTCAGGAAAATGAACGAATAAATCTCTAGTGCAAATAGACTGCCTACAAGCCCCTGATGTTCCGAGGACATTGCATGATCTACGGCCAGCGGGTTATCGGTGTGAAAATCGCATGATGGCAAACAATCTGTTTCGGTAAAGAGTATTGTGGTGTATGGTTGGCTCAATGGCCAAGTGGTAAGGCGTCGGTCTCGTAAACCGAAGATCGAGGGTTCAATTCCCTCTTGAGCCTTTTTTTTTTGTAAATGGTGTTACCAAGAGTACGTAAATCATGAAACAAAGAGTGTGTGGCTTGAATGGGTTGCTGTCGTGGCGAAATCCTGGTTACTTTTTAGCGGGACTACATAACCAAGAGTGAGTAATCCCTATATTGAGCTGCGATGGGTTCACCCTCGGCAGAATTTTTCTATTGCGTCATTCTTTGGCAGAAGTATGGTCAAGTGGGTATGATTCTCGCGCTTGTCTTGTAGATACGGCGTCAGCTCATCAGGTTCAGGACACATGGATTACCGTCTGTTGTTCTGCTTCGGCTACCGCAGCTGCAATGTTCAAATTCTTTGTACTTTCATCTCTGGCTACGCATGATGGCGTCAGTGAACCAAATAGCTGTGAAAGACTGAAGTCATTAAAAGAATCCGCCCTTGGGGCGGGGATCGTCGAATGCACGCTCTTGGTTATGTACTCTTGGTTTTAGTGATATACATGTACGCGTAGTGCGTACACTCAAGATTCAAGCAGGCCTCCTGCTGCTCTGATGGAGCTTACCTGTACGCATCACGCCACGTCCCGCCGCTTATTCGCGTCAACTTAACCATCATGTAGTCCGGAACTTTCGCCGTGACAGTCACACATGCAGGACAGGAGAAGTCAGAAGCTGAATACGCCCACGGATTGTTTTCAGAAGTATGTCTTGTTCATGATGTAGTCAACTTTATGCAGTATGTAAGGTTGAGCCTCTGCAATGGAGTTTTGTGCACAGCCAGGTGCATTAGAACATCACGGAAAAGACGTTATTCTGAAAACGAGTTGTGACGGAGGTTTTTGCGGAGTTGCGCGGTCTGGGGAGTTGTGTTTCATGTGCTTGCGTTCGACGGGAAATGAAATGCTGGCAAACCATGTGTTTTAGTGAAGAGTTTCTTGGGATATAGTTGGCTCAATGGCCAAGTGGTAAGGCGTCGGTCTTGTAAACCGAAGATCGAGGGTTCGAACCCCTCTTGAGCCTCTTTTTATTCTTTTTATTTTACAATTGGTGTAGATGCTGGTTTGGCCTTCTTCTTGATCTTGAGTTGAGGCTCAGCTTCTTCTTGCGTCCAGGAGTAGTCACATTGAAGGTGACGCCATGGTAAAGTGTGCTACAGTGGATTGATCACCGGCAGAACTAGGCAGAGATGCAGCTTGGCGCTACTGTAAAGCAGAATGTACAAACAACAGAAGAAGAGGAAGAAGCAGAAATGGAAGCAACACCTGCAATTGCATTGTCAATAGGAGAACACAGCTTTCTATCAATAGCAGCAGCAGCAGCACTTCGACTATCTGAAGAAGTTGGTCTGTCATTCGACTGTAGAGTCGCTACACACTGATGACCACTAACAGCCATGATCTTACTAAGATCCTCCAAACCTGGCTTTATCTGAAATTTATCATCGACGATGTGGAAGTAGCACGTGAACGATGATTTGCGTACGTTCCAGATAGGCCAGCTACATCAGAAATCCGTTTCGTCATTCCGGAAAGAATATTGTGAGATATGCGGCTTTTCATAAACCAACGGCCGTGAAAATCCTTGGAAATGAGCACACCTGGGTGTGTTCTTGCTCTCTGGAACTTGAAGCGATCACAAGTGGAGATCAAAGTACCGGGGTATTTCTCTCTCACACCTCACATTTGCAACAGCAAAACCACAGTGCAGGGTCGGCTGCGGACAGCCACATCGCCTTAGTCTTTTTGGATATTTTAACGAGTTTTTTGGCTGCCACAAAGTGGCCAGGTATCTGAGACAGGCATTCAAACTGGTGCTGATAACTCAGTCGCTTCATACCTGGCATCGTATGAGGCACTGACTTGCTCCTCTTCTTACTCTTCCGCTCCTTCTTCTTGGATCTCCTCTCCGGAGACGACTCCGAGGACGAGCTGGATGAGCTGGACGACGACGATGAGGAAGAGGAGGCCGACCGGCGGCGCTTCCTCTCCTCCAGCCGAATAACTTGGCGTTCCAGGAGACGCATCCTCAACTCTACCTCGTCCTGCAAGGAGGTTTCAGCTGTCTCCCGGGCAGCTTCAGCTCGACGACCTCTCGGCATGATTGCAAATAACCAAAAAAGAAAACGTTTCACCTGTGCAACAAAACAGACTGCACCCTTGACAAGCAAGCAAGACAAAAAGATAATACCGGTAAGCATAAAACAAGCTTCGCAAATATTCGAAATTCGAGAGAACATTGCTTCTCATTTCTTTCGAATACTCAGCCAACGAGAAGCGTACACTTCTTGATAGCTTTCCCTTGGGCAAGGTCATTGATGCAGCCATTAGAAGCGAGCGTTGTACCATCCAGACTTCCACAATGACTTTTAGTCATGAAGTTGGTAGCCAGATGGAATTTCTTGTCTTCAACATCAGTCAACACCAGGCCAGATGTCTTGAGTTTAGCTTGCAGCTCACCACCACGCAAACCGCAGTGTGTGGTGACGGTATGCCGAATAGAGAACAATAGTTTTCTAGTATCCTGGAAGTCAGTACATCCTCAAATAGTCTTCCAGCTTCTGTAAAACTTACGGTCTTCATCCGTCACTGATTTCTTGTGCTTGACTGTCTTTTCCTCGCCATTGCGAGATGTGTCTTTGGGGGCTGCAAAAAAAACCTGATTGGATTTGTAAAGGCCGGATCACGGATTACGTTAACAGTTGGTTGTTGCAACTGAAGGTAGCAGTCTATGGTTCCTTTTGCAAATAAAAGAAGATTCCTCTCGTAGTTGCGATCATCACGCTTTCGGGCATCAGCATAAGGTCCCTTGAGTAGCTTACAAAAACAACACAATTGGCACTGACATTTCCGTTATCAATGCACTGCTGACCTTTCTCAACGGCGAAGTCATCAAGACCAGACACCCAAGGTTCCATTGCTTTCTTCTTGTCACTGGAACAGCTTTCTCGACAAGCTTACAAGGTTGAAAACTGTCTGTTGAAGCAAAGCATTTACGAGACGATTCTTGGCCTCCCGCCATGCTGACGTACAAGAATGAAAAGAAAGAATGTTGGAAGCGCATGTGTACATGGAACAGGCTGATGTAGGATGGTACATGACGCAACGGAAATAGACAATAGCAGGGTAGATCTAGGTAGACGTCTGCGTACAGTGTCGTGTCGGAATGAAATTTCGTTTCGAAAACAAGGGATGACGTTTTTAATGTTAGTATTGAAGTCTATACAAAAGTGTGATGAATTGGGTGTGTATTGAGGTATATGTCGCTTCCATGTATACGGAAAAGATATACCATCATACGATCTGTGGCCTTCCGCCTCGAATTGTGTTTGGTGTACATTTTCGGTACAACAGTTACACTCCCGCTCCATGCATACTTGCACACAGGCTCAGTATACGAAGTATACGAAATATAAGCCCTAAGAAATACTCTTGATTTATGTTGTTGGGATGTAGTTGGCTCAATGGCCAAGTGGTAAGGCGTCGGTCTTGTAAACCGAAGATCGAGGGTTCAAACCCCTCTTGAGCCTCTTCTTTTTGCAATTGGTGCATGCTGCAAATGAAATGTTGCCAAACCATCTATTTTGAGGGAGAAGTGTTTTCCAATGTTCACGTAGAAAGCCACATGGGTCTTCGGGCATGAAAAATTAAATGAAGCAACACAGTGCCGTTAAAATACTTTTACAATCGTTCAGTAGGAATGGTGTTTGGCTGAGGCCAGCACAGACACTGGATGTTGATAGAACGGACGAGAGAGAGAGAAGGACATTTTGGATCGGGTCCAAGCTGGTAGCTTTGAGTATGGCTCGTCTCTCCTGCCAGAGAGCTTTGGGGCGAATCTGCGAGCGTGTGGGGATGTAGCCTTGCCATACCTTCCCATTACACTGATTACAACAGGCACACATGAGGCATGCACAATCTCATGTAGTCGCTCCTCGCGACCGTCTCTTTTCAGCCTTGTGGTTGCAATAGATCGCTGAATAGACGGTTGGCGATTGGAGCAGGCGTGAGGGTTGAAGACGCTGATGTCCAGGACTGATTTCTCGAAACGCCCACTCACGCACATCAGATGCTGCTATGTCAAGATGGCGTCTTCCCTGGACGCTGCTGATCAATTGGAAAGCTTTTACAATTGAGGGACTGGCGGTGTGGTTCAGTGTTGACATGTGGGCCACCTTGTTTAGAGAGGTGGTGAAGTCCTGCAGAACGTTTTGGCGCAGAGAAAGATAGCCGTCCGTCTATGGAACAAGACAGGGTATGATTTCATCCAAGCACCGCAGCCACACATTGTGTGTAGACTGGATGCGGTACAGGGACTACGGACGTAGTGTGGACAATTCATGCGTCTGTGAGGCTCGCTTGTGGAGCATGAAGCCATATCGGCAGAGAGGGGCGGTAGGCCAGCCAACTGGAGTGAAGCCGTATCAGCGGAGGGGATTGTAGGTCAGCCATTTGGAGGCTCCCGTATCTAAGCCACTTGCAGATATCTATGCATGCCTGGGAACGCGTTGTTAATAACCTGGACCTGGGTTTTTACTGGTTGGTGGATCTGATCTATCCTCCCCCACTGTTTAGGAGCCGCATCTGCCTGATCATGGGGTGGTGGCGTCCCACGGAAGCGGAAAGGTGGTTCTTGACCAGGGAGTTGTACGACTCCTTGTTCTTGACCTGCCTGGTACGCGAACCTGTCGAATTTATTTTATTTTATTTTTGGGTTTTTTACTGATTTACGGCCATGAGTAGAAACTTCCTTCTTTTTCCAATGTTGTGAAGAGTACTCTACATTTTTGTAGTGTAT